TATTTGTTTTCTGTTGCGGACGTCCATATTCAGTTATTATACTAAAATTGTACTATTAAAACTATAGTAATTGTATGAATGGTAGCCTTTTCTTTTTTCTTTTTTATTTTCCACTATTAATGATTACAAACAATTAGTGTGGTTTGGTGTGTCATTATTAGTCATACGGACCAACCGTCTATTAGGAGTCCGGTGGCAAACATTATATATAGTTTAAATGCAACCTAGTTCGTTCATTTAGTCCGTCCTTACAAAAAAAAGGAAATGTTCTCCATGACATGAACCAGCGGATGGACATTCAAAATTTCTCTTTGTTGCCAAAAAAAACACGATCACCGAATTCAACTGTGGGCCTTCACATTCAAGCACACCACTATCCGTCCTAGGATCGTCCACGTATTATGCGTCAAACTCGCTCGCCGTACACACACGTGCGACCATTTACATTGTGTTAATAGGTAGTGCATAAATGACGCTGCATTTGATCGGCGGCCAAACAGTATAATACTGGTCATAGTCATGGCAATCTACTTCTTCTGCCTCCTCGCCTTAATCCCAACTACTTGGGGTCAGCCCCTAAGTTTTGTTCAGGATTCCTCATACTGTTTTGACAAAGATTTTTACACCGGCTGTCGACTTTTTTTTTTAAACGGTCGACATATTATTGGACGCCCTGGAACTACCGTGAGGTATTGTTTCAGGGCGCCCAACGTCGCATTGAAACTCACACTGTCGTGTTGTGATTCAGCCTGAAATTAATCAAGAGTCACAACACGACGTGGCCTCCCCCGTTAGCCGGATCTCAGAGTGGAATACGTTGCCCAGGCCGCACCACTTGGAGGTGGGGGTAGGACTTTGCTAAGGCTGGGAAACGAAACACATATAAACAAACAGATACAAACACTAAAAACGAAACGACCTGGTGAGTCAGGCCTATTTTGTTTTTCCAGGGCGATCCTTTGCCAGATGAACACCCTGGACATGCCCCCGCTCCAATAACGCTTTCGCGTAAGGCGAGCAATGACCGCTGCCTAGATAATGCGCCGAACCCCAGGGCCGCCCCTCACAAAGCACACAGTGTGGTGGAGCCGTACAATTGCTCACACGGTGATCCACCTCACCGCATGATAAGTAAAGGGACGATCTGTTAGGCCCATTGCATTCCCGCGCCGTCCTCCGTGATACTACAACTGAACGGGGCCCAATCCCCTGTTGTATCGCAACCGATGAGGGGGGTTATCGAACTCACGTTGCTCTCCTCGTTTCCTCCGCTTCTTCTTCTTTTTCGGTCATGGGTCCCACGGTCCTGTTTGGACGGATGCATTGGTAGTACGCGGCTTCAGCCGTGTGACCAACACCTCACACTCAATACTCGTCCCTCCGCTTTCACAGGTCGGCGGACTAGGAAGTCCGATTCGCATACGACTTCTCGTAGCGGTTTCAGAAGGCCTACTATCTCAGTGTGACCATTTCCCAGCTACGTGGTCCAATTTTTCATGGCCACATGGACGTTGCGGTTAGTGGCGACAAAAGTGCGCATATCCGCAAGGATCTGTCCATATTTGGCCAATACTTTTTCAAGGGCGTCAATGTCCTCATCGGCATACTTCCTCCGCCTCTTTACTTGCGATGACATCCTTAGCGTCACCTACGGTAAGAGTGCTGCGGCAGGTGAGTGTTCCGTGTCTAGAACCTTTCCCTCCGGACTTGCAGGCGACATATTCTTTCGCTTCATCGAAAGTCCCGGGACTCCGATCCATCAGGTCCTCCACAAACGTAACATCTCTCGTGATGGCCTCCTCATCGCTAGCTACATCGCCATCAACTATTCCAGCTTGTTGTTATGCCAGGGTGATGCAAAACTCCAGACACTAATTTTTACTATTATTAATTTTATAATAATTTATATTAAGTATTCGTTAATTATCTTCTTATTATAATTAAGTGTACTTAATAAAATCTTTAGATAGATTTGAAGTTTGTGAAATTTTGAATTTTCATGTATTATTTTACGGTATTAAACATTGAAATACGTATTGAGAAAAGGACAGAAGAAAACGCTATCTTTTCATGATTATTGTGTATACATATGATGATAATGTGTATACATTACAAACTTGGCATTAATACCATGATAAGAAATTAGATAAGGCAATTATTACTTATCACTCTCATTCAAAAGTATATTGAAAAGATAGCGTTTTCTTCTGTCCTTTTCTCAATACGTATTTCAATGTTTAATACCGTAAAATAATACATGAAAATTCAAATTTTCACAAACTTCAAAACGCTACAGAATATTTACTACTCAATATTAATAAGATATTTTTTTACTAAAATTTTTCTTAAATTCTACTCTACAAAATAGCTATCTTAGATTTTTTTTTTACATTTTATTTAAAATTTAAAAATAATTAATATTTTTAATAAAATGTAAAAAAATTAATCATTGAGATATAGCTATAGACCTGACGTATAACTATTATTTAAAAAAAAAATCAGCTAAAAATATTAACTGAATCAAAATTTATTTAAGTCGTCAGTGAGTGGTGGGCCACCTGTATAAGTAAACTAGAAATTACTTTTAAGAAGAAATTAAGTATAATACAACCAGAGGCATATTAAATACAAAGAAAGAAAGTGAAAACCAAAAGTATAGCTTATAGAAATCTAGAAAATGGATGATAAAGTATATTTTATGTTTTAACAAAGACATCACCAGATGGCGGTATGACAACATAATTTGTAAAATTACAAATTGATCTTATCAAATACATACGTTTTTCATCAATACAAATAAGTTTCGAGACGTAACTGCGGAGGTCTAAAATTGTATAAAATTATTAATACATTTAAATTATTTATTCAATATTTACTCATTAATACGTTTTTATTAAATACTATGTATTGGGATAGTTAATTTTTTGTGATAACTATAATTTATTTGTTACGTCAAATAAGTTGTATATATTCATTACCCACTAAATCAACATAAAATTAATATTCTCAATAAATAAATTATTTTAGAAACACAAACAACTCAAAATAAGTAAAATAATAATAATGTCAATTCCTAGTTACACTAGACGCTTAGCTAGCCCTACATTTACACTAAAAAAAACTCCTTGGTAAAAGCAATACATTTTTTGTAAATGCATGTCCAATAATATTTTATTAATTAGTTACTACGATTCAATTTGACAAAATATAGACTATTAAAACACCTTAAGAAAATTAGCTATTATTTAAAAATAATATTCTGTGTGTACTACAAATATGACTACTTCAATATTGTTGATCATTTTTAAATCAGTTAACAATAATTTAGACTTGAATTTTGACGCAACTAAAGCAAAAAATTTAGAGTAATTATGGTTATGTAAAGTTCACAAAAAACTCACGTTCTTATATTTTGAATGGGCTTTATTTGAATATGTATAAAACAATTTTATAAGACATAGGTGCGTCTAGTAGAAAATTTTTGGGGTGTTTTTAAATATTTACTAATAAAATATTTTTACACATGCGATTATATTAAATTTACAATTTTCACAACAATACAATTAAAATGCTGTAAATATCAACATTGAAGTCTATTTTGTATGATCAATCATAAGATTTCAATATAAATACTTTGAAAGTAATAAGTTTAATTCTGTGAATACTAAAGTCTTCCTAGAACTCCACACTTGCGTATATAAACAACGGTAATGTTTTTCTAAATTTTTAACTGAAAAGTATTAATTACACAAAAAACACCATAAGTTATTGTTATTTTATAATCATATCCAGATGCGAATCTTAATCTTTGAAAACCCCAAAACTGAGTATCTAAAAAGGAGCGCTTTAACTTAAAAACCAACTCTACACCCAGAGAAAAACCTCGATCTATATAATAAATTCATTGTTCAATTTGATAAATATATCATTACTATTGAATCTATGATATATTTATCAATATGATAATTTTTTTTCTTGTCTTGAACAATAATTATTTATAAGAATAGTTATTTTGTTCGTATTAATAAAACATTATCATAAACCCTTGATAAAATTTCTCTTTCAATTTTGATTGAGGTTTTTCTTTGGGTGTAGATTATTATTATTTTTTTTTACTATTTCTTTTGTAATGCTAAAAATTATGAAAAACTAGCAAAAATATTAGGAGGGCTGTTTATCTTCATTGACTCCAAAAGTATCACGCCAATTTCCCTGTTAGTTTTTTAGCAGAATATTTGTCTTGATAAATGATATGGTAAATCTTATGATAGCTTAATTTTTTTAACCATTGTAGAAATAAAATTATTGTTGTCAATTTTAACAATGTCAATGTGTAGTATGACTCATTGTGGCATACTTTACTATAATAAACTTGAATAGACTTATTTATGGTCGTGATCAGGGCCGTCCTAAAATTTTGTTTTGAGGGTGGTTTTAATTTTTTGATATTAGTATTAAATTAACAATTATATCATTAAAATAAGTAGGTATAAAATAAAGTATCCCAAGTGTATTCATAAAAACCCATAATATTTTAATACTACTGTCAAATACTAAAAACACATTTGAAGACTTAATATTATAAAAACAAAATTTTATTTCACCGTGACTGTAATGTACTATAGTATATAATTTTTACTTCATGAAAAAAATAAGGTTAAAAATTTAAAAAGTCAATTTGGAGATGGTTTGAACTCCCAAAACCATCCCCTTGCGCGCCCCTGGTCGTGATAACCATCAATTTTATAAAATAATCTGTAATTTCATCGATTTTAAAATATTTTTAAGTTCATTTAAATATTTTTAAGTCATTTGTCGACCGGTGAAGTAAACTTTTATAAACAATAGTGCAGCATCCGAACGAGCACAATTTTTATAATAATATTCACTTAGGTACCGTTTTTCCGATAAGGCGTATCTGACACGCCCATCTCTCTTGATTGGTCCAGACCGATGAAAACGCTAACGGCTTCAATACTCTACAGCTCAACCGTGGCACCGTACCTCCACCGTTCACAGTGATCGACGGGACACGGTCGGTACATGCGCTCATAGTCATCAGCATCGACGTTTTCGAATTTCTATCTTGTGTTTTTGTATTACGTCGTTTTTTAATCCCATTTGACCTAGTACATTATGCTCATGATGAACGAATTCGGTTCTATGGCTTCGGCCAACATGTTGCCCTTCAACTCGATGTGTCCCGGCCTATTCGAACATCAAATGCCCAGACCTAGATTGGCGTTTAAAATGCCCAGGGTTGTACCAGATCAAAAAAACAAATTCCTGACAGATGACCTTTTCAAACGACTCAGCCGCGAAAGCGATGTAAGTAAACAAATTGAAATCTAATTATCTCACTAAAATATCTTATTTTATAATTTTTCTCTGTTGAAAATTAGTAAAAAGACTCTTATATGACATTGATGTAAGACTTTTTACAAATTTTTTGACTTTCTGATTATTTTTTCGATTATGTCAGTTAATTTCTGAGTACTTACACTACAAAGGTATTAACTCATAAGAACACTTACATTTGTCTTAAATTATATATTTTAATTTCAAGAAGTAATGTTAAATTTCTGTAATTAAGAGTTTTGTGTAACTTTTATTAACAACGACAATGATCAGCAATTGAAAAAAATATTATCTCTTTCAAAACAATTGTCTGTAAAATTATTTAATTATATTATGAATATGAGATCAGATCAGGATGAAAATTAATATAAGTCTGATATTTTGATATCATAATTTATAACAAAAACATATTGGCTTATTTGTACTGAGATGTACATTAAGAGCTAAATTATATTGAAATATTAAGTTTTATACTGCAGTTTCAAAAATAATTTGTAAATTATTAAATAACATTATTTTGTCTCCTTCAAACCGTTTCTCTAAATTTGTAGTGTACCTATGTATTTTCAAAATGAGTTAATTTTGTTGTTTGCAAATAAAATTTTTTAAATGTTCTATATCTTGTTTGTAAAAACTCTATTACCTAATTTATAGAACAATTAGATAGGGTATGGAACTAGAGCGGAGTATATTTATACTATTACGCGTTGCATATCCACACGCTCTATATACCCTCTCTATGTATTAAGATGTTTATAATTCAATGAATATATGTCCTTGAATTGTTAGTTATCAAAATTTTGTAAGAAAAGGATTAAAAAAACCAAAATAGTTGGGGGGTTGCGGCATAGTTGGGACGTGGCATAATTGGGTCAAGTATAATGATATCTAACTGTGATTAAAATCACTATCATAAAATACGTATCGATGTTGATTTGTAGATAATGTTTAATTTTAAAAAATTAATGGATTATTTCAAAAGCTATATGATCTCCATTTCCTTTTTTATGAGGAATCCTGATTACAAGTTATATGATTTATAAGTGTAATATATGAATGTATGTCGAATGAAAGAAGAATATAAATAGTCCTTATCTTAAAAAAATTATAATAATCCATACATTTTTCAAAAAGTTATAGCATTATAAAATTAAAAATATAAAAAAAAATTTTTTTACAAAAATCGTATTTTTCTATTAACTTTGGTGTCTGTTTTCACCTTGAAGACAAAATAAAGTCTGAAATTATTCTTTTTTATATTAAATTATATTACATAACCTTTAATTAAATATATGTATAAAAGTGTCAGTATTTCCGGAACACATTCAAAAATTAAGTTGAAAAAGTTTTTTCTATATGCATTTTTAAGTTTTGAACCCTTCTGTATATAGAGAAATTGTCCGATTTAAAAAAAAGTATGTCGCATATAAGAAGAATATAAGTACTTATCTTTAAAAAATTATAATGATCCATACATTTTTCAAAAAGTTATAGTGTTATTAAATTAAAAATATAAAAGAGAATTTTTTTACAAAAATCGTATTTTTTTTATTAACTTTGGCGTCTGTTTTTACCGTGAAGTCAAAATAAAATCCGAATTTTTTTTTTCCCATAATAAAGTATAAGTATCAGAGTTTCCGGAACACTTTCAAAAGTTAAGTTGAAAAAGTTTTCATTTTGAATCCCCCACTGTGGGCAGATAAAGGGTCAGATTAATAAAAAAAAGTATACTAAATGATAATTAAAGTCATCATGCAACTATAAACATTTTTTTTATTGATTTGGTCATTTTTGATAAAGTTATAGCAATTTTAAGGAAAAAAAAAATTCGAAAATTAGCGATTTTTAAATTTGTAATTTTTTTGGAGATTTCCCCCATTTACGGAGAATGAGGGAAATTATTTCAATGTTTGAGGGTAATGTATTCGAATAGATACGATTTGTGATCTTTTGACGTATCGTTGAAAGAAATCGGTTCGATGAGAGATGAGTAAAAGTGGTAACAGACACAAAAAAAACATAGCATAGTAAAATTAATACCTTCTCAACTTCCCATCGAAGTTAATATGTGTTTTAAAGTTAGAAATTAAAAATTAAAAAATTATTATTTTTTGTTTCTTATTAGTAATAAATAATAAAATATGTTTTAAACGCAATCTAAAAATACAATAATTAAAAAAAAAATGTTAACCAAATGATGATTGGATCTTAAGTTTTCAGTTAGATCTGAGACACTATATAAAGTTCTAAATGTTGGGCTAATTCTTCGTCTAGTATACTAAGCCCATATAGGTGTGCCTATGGAGAGACCCGTTATTGTTATTGATATGGATTTTAATTAAACAACATTATTTTTTTCTTTTTACTTATCTCAGTATTTTATAATACATTACAAAATATCTTGAGATATATTCTACATATTTATATTTTCTAGGTCCGATACACTAGCTACAGAGATAGGCCACACGAAGAACGTCAAAATCGTTTCCAGATGGGCTGTCGGGAGGGTCATGTGGATATTGTGAGTTTTATTATTTTTTAAGTGTTAATGATATACATACTTGTTCTACTTTTTATAGGCGTTCGCAAATACCGGAACAAATTTACAACTTATGTTCACGCCTAATGTTCCCACAATGACACCTTACCATCAGCCTGCTATTGGCTATTGCGATTTTGAAAAAGAAAGAGGAATGGTAGGAACATATTTTTTATTTAGAATCTTAATTTTTATTTAAATTTCTTAATTTATCCTTCTTTAACTATAAATTTTATCTTAATTGAAAATAAAAAAAATCATATGCTATGTCCTAGTATTAGCTATTTCTATCCATGTCTGATTTTCAAAGTAATGCACAGTTCATTTCGTGTAAATGCAATGCTTTTTACTAGCGAGTATAATGGATCAATATTATGTGGAAAAGAGGGTTTAACATCATGTAAAGGGGAGGAATCACGTGTATAATACAACGCCATTTTGTTTTTGGACCCCAACATTCCGTTCGTTACAGCACATAATATTGAAACTAATATTTGAAATTGCTCACAACTAACTGAATTTCATGTTATAGATAATTTATATAAGTAAAATTAAATCAAAGAATATTAAATTTGATACTTAATTTTCTACGTTTTATATCTTCTCTACTAGTCAAAGATAGTCGACGAAAAAAATATTCATTATTTATATCTTACAGCTTTATAAATTCAAATTGAGATAATAAATTGCGCAATAATAGTACTATTTTATTATAAAAAATAAATTCTAACAATATTTTTGATTTTTTCGCAACTTATAACAGAATAATGTAATATTCAGATTAGTAAAAAACGCGACCTCTTCGCTCAAACAGAATCAATGGAAATCACTCGTGAAAAGGTGTGCCTGATTGTTACCGTGTTTTTGACAGCTCTGACAAATTTACTTATGAACTGACAACATAATATAAGTATTCTTTAGGTCTCTATTTCAAATATTTATGTGTATGTATTCTTCCTATGCTGCACCCTCGTGTATTTCTATTTGAGTTCTTATAAATAGTAACCTATTGTTGCTATAAAGCCTGTTGGTGTTACAATGCCATTTTTTTATTATTTTTATAAATATATACGGGACACTACCAAAGAAATGCTCCTGACTATATTGTTGTTTAACGCTTTTTAAAATAAACAAATACTCTATGTGTCGTTAAATAACTGTTTACTGAGAAACATAATATTACTTAAAAGACAAAAATCTATTCAGTATAGTGCCTACAAAGTCAAACGTAAAATAATTCAAATCATACATTATAAAATAACAAGAAACTTCTAAACTTCTACACTAGCATGTTGACATTTTTTTTCATTTAGGAAGATATTTTAACGTTAGGTGTACGTCATCAATATTTTTATATAATTATAGAAAATATAATAATAAATTAAGGCAACACTTCCGTTGCTGACAGATAAATTGACAAATTAATAAAAATATGTAACTACTCATTCATTTAATCATTCTTTTAACCAATTGAGTCTGATCGTCATTACGAGTAAACACATCAAAGTGTATAATCAAAACGTCAGTCTCACACTTGATTGTCGCTTTCCGACTTTAATCCTTTCCTTGCCTGACTCAAGTACTTGTCTTTCACTTCGTCTTCACTTTGTACTTAGCTACCTCTCTTTTTTAATTGAAATACTTATTCTCGCGCTATTCTAGTACATAAGGTATTTGTTTTCTCTAAAGGCTTTTATAGCAACGACTCTTAGACACTCTCGATAGACCGAAGTGTTAGCAAGGTCTATCAACAATGCAGCATAGTCTCTCTTTTCTTTTGTTTTGAGGTAGTATTGTTACTTAAACTTAAATTTCTACAATAAATTATACAGCGATACAATTAAATTAGTGACTTCTATTATTTATTTTTATTAGGCACGATATTTAGCCGACCTTAATATGAATTATTATGGAATGAAGCAATACATTAAGCGGACTTGATACATATTACTATTATAAATATATATATCTGCAAAATTATTGTCGAACCTAAAAGTTATTCATTTTTCTGATTTTTGCATCAAAATTATTAAAATTAATTTTAAAACAGAAAAATTCATCATATTAGTTATAGTTAGTAGTTTTTTATAATTTGTTTTCAGTCATGTCACACACCCAAAGAAAAACCTCAATCAATTTTGATAGAGAAATTTTATCAAGGGTTTATGATAATGTTTTATTAATACGAACAAAATAACTATTCTTATAAATAATTATTGTTCAAGACAAGAAAAAAAATTATCATATTGATAAATATATCATAGATTCAATAGTAATGATATATTTATCAAATTGAACAATGAATTTATTATATAGATCGAGGTTTTTCTCTGAGTGCAGTTATCGTTTACGTGTTAATAAAATAAAAAGACACATATTATGTGACAATTGCTTAAGTGTACATAATGTTTTTAATTCTTTTTTATGGTCCCTGGAATACCTTAGATTAAGCTAGACGTTAATTTATAATTATTATAAAAGCAAAACTAGTTTTTTTTAATCTAACCAACTAAGCATAACTCCACTAACTTTAAGTTAGCGTTGTTTTACTAATAGAGTCAATATTATTTTTCACATCATATAAATTAATGGAAATGCCTTTAATATTTTTGCATAATTTTTTTGATTTTATCGTCTAAGTAATAATATTTACGGATATTGTTGGGACGTTTCACCTCATATTTAAAGGTAGGACCTATTATGTTAATTCCACCACGCCTTACGGCCAGTGGTCACTTATAGTTATTAGTTGTGTCCATCAAAAGTAGCCTCCACTGTTTCAGTACAATCGTTTAATCCGCTGAAAAAAATTAATCGAACAAAGATTTTATTCCCCTTTATGTTATACGCCCATTAGAAACGGTAACAAATGTTCGATTATAATGCACGACGCGACTGAAGAACTTCTCAGCTGGAGGTGCAAAACAGTGGAATTACATTAGTAATTTTATTTTTTACCCTATTTATTTACACAACCCCGACTGGGAACATGTTAATACCTTTTCTGCGGCCCCCTTAGACATAAGTAATACGTTTTGTCATCATATTAGTAACTCTTTGACTCTCACAGCGTGATGTTGTCGGTACTTTTTTTTTAAATTTAACACCTTAATAAACATATACATACAGATGAATATACGAAAACTAAAGGAGTATTATTTTAGATTTATTTTTTGTACAACATGTAATTTCTAGTGTGAGAGACATCTGTCTAACGCGCGCTTACTGAAGCTGTTTTTTGCCGCCCACCGTCATAGGCGGTCTTTTAACCCTTTTGACCTTTACTGATTCAACAGCTCTTCGATCATCGCTTAATCAACTTAATGACAATTCAACGACAATATGTTGTGATAGAAATAAAAAAAAATAATTCATTAGTTTTCATTTAAATACATAAATTAAATTAAAAAAAGCAATAAGTTTGTTTTTTTATACGCATTGTTAATAAAAAAAATTCTATTTTTTTATTTGTTTAACATCTGCCTTCTTTTTTTTACATTCTAATAACGTTATCGCCGTTAGCTTATTAAAAATAGTTAAAAGAACTTGTGAATTTCGATAGACGGTTCCTCTCGTTTTGTGCGGTTGGAGGTGTCGCGTTGCTGTGGTCGGAAGCGATGGGATTCCCATCTATGCTACTAGGTTAGAGTGGGTTAGGTTTACTAAAAGGAGTTCTGATTAGGGTGCGTACAGAGAGCGGATTAAAGAAAAAATCAGGAAAGAAAAGAAGACACTGCATTGGAAAACTCAACTCGTATGACCAAAAGGAATAGTTGCATTTTTTTTTTAACCACAAAAATCATTACACACGTTTGATACACGATCCGACATACACATCCCAAGACGACCGAAAACCGCATAACTCCTGTGACGGATCATACCTCGGAATATCAAATTTTCATAGTCTCCAATTTCATCGCTCAATCAGCGTACGTTATTATTATAATTACGATATCTTGCGCATTGTTGTGTGTTTTCTAGCACAGGGAACGGTCTGAAATTCATATATGTATTACTGTGATTACACGCACAGCACTCGGCGTCCGTCCCTGCGGTGTGCTGTCCGGCTACCGACAGGTATCGCGTACAACGTTCAATACCTCGTGAACAACAACAACACCACCACATTACAATATCTCTTGTCGTACGGCAGCGTGGCCAGACGTACGCGGGTTTTCGCTTGACCTGTCTCTCGGGTGGTCCGAATATTGTCTTGTCTGTGATCATTACTTCCGAAACGCCGAACAATGTCCCCAGCAACCGTTGCGTTTGACCATTAACGATAGCACAAAAAAAAAAATTATATCAAGAAGAAAACTGACCTTTTTTGCATCGCTTTCGAGATACTGTAATAATACACACAGTATTGCTACGGCTACATCATTTTTTGCATTCTAATATCATATTGTATAACAATACAACGAGATGGTCAACACTCGTGATAACAATAAATATACACGTGTTAGTATACAATACGATTTAATTGACGTACGGTACGGTGTACTTGTGGACATTTTGCCCACACACATAGTTGTAGAAGAATTTCTCTTGAATTATTCTTCTCCATTTTTTTTACTAAAACTTTTAAATGATATTCTATAGAGCTTTCCTAATTACTTTGTCATTCAAAGAGTATAATATTCATGTGTCATCTGCGATACAAATTTATGAATATTAAAATTCAGTTTATAAAATTTGAAATGTTGTATGATTGTTAAAATTTCAATAATTTATTAGGATACCGTCATTGTGATGAAACATCTCATTTTATGTTAAATTAATTTAGTTGCACGAAAAATTGTCTACGACTGCGTTCATAACGAGCCATAAAAGTATTATATACGATATTATTATTCGATTTAGTAAAAACTTGTTTTGAAATGTTATTAAAGACATAAAATTAACACCCGACGTAAAAAGCAATACAGAAGTTACAACACTGATACGATAAAAATAATTAAATAATTACTTAACATGAATGAATAGCGAAAATGTTAATTAAATTGTTTCTAAATATTATTATTATTCTATCTTCTAATAATTGTTATTGTGCAATGGACAATGAACACGATAGTTATTCTTAAAATTAGTAAAATTTAATTTCGAGAGTCCATTGGGATTTTTAAGAGACTGAGCCCCAAATCCTCCTCCCATCAGCCTATGGATTTATTGTAAAATGATGCATTTACAATAGAAGTATTGTTGAGGATAACATTTTATCTTTTATTGAACTTATGTGTAAGTTGACGTTGATATATAGAAATGGGTTACTAAACATCAATATAATGTAAGAGATAAATAGGGTGTGATTATGTTGTACGAGCGATTACCTATCACATTAATGTAAATAACACACAGGTATGATTGTTTACTTAGATTTGTTTCACCACCTCTTAAAAATAATTTATTTTTCTGTTGAAACTAACCAACGTTTTTATTGCATTGTAATAAAAACATCAAAATCATACAGATATCATTAAAATTTTACAGTAGCAAAATGCTAAGTTGTTTGTCTATAGATTTTACTTAAATACTGTTTGCCTAAGAATTCTTTTTTTAGTTTAATGACAATTTCTATACATACATTTTTGTTGTAATTTATCGAAACATAAATTAAATAAATGAAAATAATAATAGTTAATCAAAAATACTTTATACTTCTTATATTTAAAAAATATTATTTTATAGAGTAATTTTTCAATTTCATTTAATTATTAAATAATTTTTTTAATTTCAAAAATGTTTATTATTAATAATATTTTAGGTACATATTCTGTCACCCTTTATAATGAACGGAGTTTGTGTTCAATGGAGAGGGCGGATTAATCTGGAAAAATTAGACGGTGTCGGCTGCTTAGAGTACGATGAAGAACGAGCCATGGTAAGTCATTTTTTCAATTTTGTTAACAAAAATGTACAATCATATAAATGATGTGTGAAATACTTTACCGAAATCAATTCAGAAATAAAAAAAGAATCCTAAATACTATCAAAATTATACATTAATTGAATTAGAAACCATCGATTAAATGGAAAGTTTGATGCCTATGCAATCTATGGATTAGGGTATAATTTTTTTTACTTTTTGTAATTTACTTAATTCAACTAAGTTTAGAATTCTTATATTAACATAAGTATGAATATTCTCCGTTATTACTCAATTATTCCATACAACAATAACACATAGCAACAAGAACTTTTATCAGTGACTCAAATTCCGTTGTTCGCTTGAATAACGTTATCATTGCAATCGAAATTCAGTGTTTTTTTTTCCTAATATAAGTGAAATTGCCATTTGTTTTTCATAATTATACCTAGATTGTTTAGAATCACAGGACAAAGTAGTTTATACACTGTGTTATAATATTATTATATCATGTTAAATGAAATTACTCATCGCCCAGCGCCACTGTATTTTATTATACTTAGCAAAACCAACATCTTGATAAAATCAAGCAATCAACTCCTTAGAATTACTTATTTATTAAAATACTAAAGTATTGCGTTTCATCATTAAAGAACATAATATTTGTACGTTAATGTTTTACAACAAATAGTAATCATACGTTTTTAGATTTCGTTTGTCGAGTTTAAGTTAAGATCAAATTAATTAAAACTATATTAATTAATTTTAAAAAAGACTGTTTCAATAGTTTACAATAATCACATTATAATTGTTTAAATATATTTGTAAAATTACCAAAGTCAAAATTGTTAATGTTCAAACTACTAATAATTTTTTAATCGTTCTTATATTTATAGTAAAATGTTATGGTGGTCGATTGATTGCAATCATTAAAATTTGTTTATAATTTGTATGAAAATAGTTCTAGATTAACAAAAAATATACTGAATGAATAACTCGTTTTTTTTACTGTTTAAAGATTTTATTAAATTATACTAACAAGTATGATTGAAATTAGATCCGTATGCATTGTTACTTTATTGATACACGCTAAATTTTTTATTGCAACTATATTAAACCGAATTTACATTTATTTTAATTGAATGTTTTTATTAAATTTTTTAAACTTTGTCAATTATTTTGATTTAATTAAAAATAATGTTTTTTAATATTCGTTAATAAAATATGACACTAATAATAATGCATAAAGTACATTTTACTCGAATACATTGATTTTACAGTGAAAGCTAAATAAACTTATCGAGTACAATTTTATTTATTAGATCGAACATCAAATCCTTCAAGAGCAAATCGAAAGGTATAACAATCGCATTAAAGATCAACAAGATAAGCCGCGTTCTTATCGACAGCAAGAACGTGTGCACGTGCCCGAAATGGATTCCGGAAAGAGATATTCAAATTTCTAACGTCGTTGTTTTTTGTTGTTTCGTTTTTATTATTTATATATCTTTGTTTTTATTTTAATTGTTTAGGTAAGAAAAAAGTTTTGTATTATATTATTTTTTTAATTTCTTTTATCTTGAAATTCCTTATTGTTTGTCTTTATTTATTTAGAAATAATAAACTATCTAAATATAATATTTTTTCATTAAGGTCTACATTGACCGTCTTAAAATTTAATGATTGAACAGAATTTTCATTATTTTTCAGAGGGAAATGTAATTTATTCTAAAAAATATGTAACAATATTTACTTTGTACTCCTTTTCAAAAAAAAACGTGCAATTATATATTACAATAATTTTTTTTAATACTATTAACATTACATTTTAGTATACTACATGTGATAATGTATCCTTTACGTTTACAAAGTCATCGTATAGAGTTAGTATATTGTAATAACAGTATAAAATAAAAATATGTGCCGAGTTCTAAAAATGTCTCCCGTAGCGAGATGCACAATGACCATTGAGTAGCGACAATCGCAACATAACACATTATGCCTTTATTTACATTTAGGTGTTGAAAAGGCGTGTTTCGCAGAACGGCGATAATTGAAGCAAATGATTTACGATATCCTTCTGTTTGTGCTTATGATTTGTACACAAATGCTGACAGAAATGAATATAATAATAAATAAGTGTACGGTTTTCCCCGTGTAATTTTGACGACAGCGTTGTCCATACAGTCACGGTTACCTGCGTCCGCATGTGGATAGATATTACTTTTTTTAAGTGTCTGTTAGCACACTCCGGTTATGTATTATTTGATCATCCATTCGATTCATTCCTTCTATTTTCAACAGTGCACAAATATTTTAATTATGGTAACATGGTTGACATATATATATCATTTTTCGCAGTCTTTTTTTTAATTATGACTTGACAAATACAGTGTTATTCACCTATGGGTACCAATATTTATTGAACTATAAGACAAAGGATCTACAAACTTTAACTCTATAGGGAAGCTTAAAAAGTTAGATGTCCATTTTAAATTTTATTATAATTAATATTTCCATTTAAAAAAATGGAATTTGTAAATCGGTTGTTTAAAATCTAATGTAAGTAAAACCAGGGTTGTTATATTTGAAACATTTGTTTAGTGAAAATATTTTAAACACGGCTTTTTAAAATTATTTAATATAAATATGTATAAAATAATTTTATCATAAAAAATACTTATGACACCATTATAGTTAATATGTTTTAGTTATTTACACCTCTATAATACTCATTTTTTATTATTATTTTTTTTTTATAATAGTTTAAGTAAAAATTATTAAAGAAACGGGTTTTCTTTATAAAAAATAGTACAAGTATATTATAATAAACAAGTTATGTTATTTGCTAATTAAAACTATTGACACTAAATCAATAATTATTATTAATCATCTTAAAAATGTTTCATAATTTATGAACATGAGAAAATGTTCTAAGAATAGATATATATTTCAAAATTCATACCGAAGAAAGATGATTTTACTGTATTCATTCAATATTAACTTCTTAAATATATTAAAACGTTAATACTCGGCTCCAGGTATTACAGGTACCCTTTTGTTTTTTTTTTAGTAAAAAGTACCTTTTTGCTTTTAATTTACGCTTATTAAGTTCTTTCAAGCGCGAAGTCTTAGGCAAGTACATTGATAAAGACACCAATGCACATATGCCGGTTTCATATTTACATTTATTCAGAAAAAATATTTATTTACTATTTAGTATAAATTAATAATACAAATATTTAGGTAGTAAATATTGTAACATAAGGTTATGTGCCAAATAACTACTAAAATTACTGTAAAAATTACAATTATTGAAATTATCATAACATTTTTATACATTAATATTGGCAGTTAATCTGAATGAATTGATAACTATTAATGAGGTTCATTATTTTGTAATATAAAGGTGTACATAATACGTACTCTAGTGAAAGCTTTCTGCAAGTGCCCTTTCTTATGGCTCATTGTCCTTTGTTACACGGATTTTAAATGTAGATGTTCAAAAATCAAATTCCAAAATTAATAAATATTCGAAAATTAAAAACTTTTGGATGGATTAATTTAAATCCGTGTAATGTTTTTATGTCAAATTTTGGTAGCTTTTTGTTGTAGTCACGAGTCTTATGTTTAGTGTAAACATATTGTTAAAATTACGTGTATCAAATGGATACAAGAATGTATGGATAGTATCCAAACATTGTGACATACGAAGTGATTCTTTTAGCACTAGTGATTCGATTTCTATTAAAATAATAACTATGTTAAGAAGATTATTTCTGATAATTTTTAGTTTCATATATTTCTTAATTAATCAGTCATTAATTACTATTTTAATTCAACCCTTATTCCATTTTATAATATATACTGGGGGCGCGTTTATGATAATTTTTTTAATTTCTGGGCGCATCTCTCTTTCCGCCTAGGTATACAAATATTAATTATAACATTAATAATATTAATAACATTCGAAGCATTAGTCCTAATGTTGATATCGACTAGTTTTTGTTAACTAGATAATTTTTTAATTTATAAGCTTTTTAAATATGTATGCTGTATTTCCAAAAAATTAAATTGACATCCTTATAATGTCTAAATGATGGGCTAAATAGTTATTAATAACTAATAAATTGAGAAATATATGAACTTTTAAACATGGTTATCATTTTGAGAGAAATTGTGCGGTTATCGCTAAAAGAATCACTCTGTATTGAGCCTAAATTAATTTACTTAACTAATTTCTAGTAAGAGTGTATTTATTTATACAATTATTTAGTTTATATAATTGTTAAAATACATTTTGTATATTGAACACAAATTCGATAAAGTAGTCGACGGTTACATGCAATCTGTAGTTTACAGAAGTATATATAATTATGACATAAAATACATTTTTTTAAATGAAAAGTTAAATTGAAAACCAACAATTTTGGTTTATATATTTCTAAAATTAAAGAACATTTAAACTATCATTATTAACTATATTATACAATGTATAGTATAAGAATAGTTGTACATTTCAAATCCATCCAGATTAAGAGGAACACCTAGAGAAGCAGAGTCTCGAACCATCAGTAAATGAGGGCTCTGTGTATAATTTATTAATGTATACATTTTTTTTTTTTTAAGCTTTTGTTATACAACCTTAGAATCCGATCTTAAATCCTATTCTGATTACAACATTAGTGCATGACATAATAAGAAAAAACAAAATAAGGCATGCTTAAGTCTACATGAAAATATCTACCAAATAATCACATTTCCCCGTACCAAAGTTTAATCATAGTGCAAATAAACGTGAGAGCAATTTCCACTTGTATTTGATCACATCTTAATCATCTGATCTAAATGCGAAAATAGTGTTTCGAGAACCCCATCACCCTGAACATATGACATCAATGAGCGAGCTGAAATCCACTGCACAATAAATATACGAAACTATATTTGAACAGCTTAGGGTTCCCAGTCGGCAAATTATCTTACGGGTTTCATTAAAAAAAAAAAGAAAAGTGATTGAAACTAAACAGCATGTTCATACGGAAAGTTTTTAAGTTTTACCTCTTCCAGAAACAAATATTTATTTTTATATTCCATGATTGACTGATTGCTATGTTCATAAATTATTCAAATATGATAATTTAAGTGGTATTATGAATAACATTAATAAATAATAAATATTATTTAATAAGTTGTTTATTAACTATAAATTGTTCATACCAGTTCTAAACTAAAGATGTAAACTCACATTCATTGCATAGACTTGGCTATTCTAAAATAAACTAATAAACAAGATTTATAACCTATTTACAGGGCACTATTTAAGGGCTCTCTCGGAGAGATAAAAATCCCCTGAAAAATCTCACAAGTTAATTTCAATATTAAAGAGCATAAACTATAAATAATTTAAACATATAGTCGATCGAAAAACATTTTTTCATTTGTGTATTCGTAAATATAGTTTATGTTTTTTTAAACCAAATCAAATTTGAATTTGGTTTACTACAATCGGCTAACATTTATTATTTATTACTTTATAATGACAAATACTGAAATATCCACGTAAATTTATTTATAACATTATTTTTGTATAAAGCATACAGCATTTGAAAGCAGATCCTGTAAAACGGTTGATAAATGTAAAAAAAAAAAAAATGCAGCCTGTAATGTCCTCTGTATAATAACACTAATGTGTTAGGGACACGGTTAATATGGTTTGAATATCTGTGGACTAGTGTATATCACATTATTATCCCTCTCTATATAGATTGCATCACATTCTCATGGCTCTGGACGGTTCGTTTCGCACATGCACCTGTTTGTAATTTGTCGCATACCTTAGGTGTATTTTACTAGCATATAAAATATGTACATTTAATTTTTTACATTTAAAATTTACTCAGTAAAATTATTTATTATATACTAGTAATACTATAGTTTATTAAAAACAAAAAAATATAACAACTGGGTATTAAACAACAAAGATTTGTTTTTTTTATTATTAAAAAAAATAAAATTATTATTCATTTATAAAAAGCCTTTTAAGTTGATTTAAAGATGGATATTTGAGGTTGATTTAATAATAAAAAAGTTATCATTGATTCGCATACTTAGCCTAATTTTTTTAAGGTTTTTTAATATTATTAATAAACTATTTAGTGAGTTTTTTTAAAGGTTTATTATATTATCGTTAAATTATTTCGAAAAATTGTATTCTATTTCACAGTAATCATCTAATTATCTGCTTTTACAGATGTTACAGAGACGTTCCAACCGATTACCGATTTATCGGAGGTACATCACCTTTATATTGATCCCTATGCAATTACGTAGAGTAATTTGGACTCCAATTACAATTACTATTCTCATCCGGCATGAACATTCGTATTTACAACGTTAGCCGCCTAAATGCTTAACGTTGAATAAGATAAATTTTTAAACCTACTGTGTGTTGCACGAAACGAATGCTATTTAACATCTAACAGGTGCAACATACTCGTTTACTTAGTATAGTACAAAATACAGACGAGTATTACCTATCTACAAAACAGAATGATAAATTTGATATTTTTAAACGATTTTAATATTCATAAAAATACTATTTGATTATTTTTGTTAAGATTTTAATCAATAAAAATATTGATCTAATATGTTTTTTAAATA